TATATTTTATATTACTAGCCATCTTAAAGTACAGAGGATTTATAAATTATTACTGATAAAATAATGGTTATATAACTGTGTACAGTTGATAGATACAGTTGATTTAATAAACCTTGCGAAGACGCTTTCTCATATATTTATTTTATGGCCCGATTTATGTGGCCCGATTTATGTGGCCTGATTTATGTGGCTGATTTATGTGGTCTGATTTATGTGGCCTGATTTATGTGATCTGAATTTATGTGCCTGATTCGTGGCTGAATTTATTAAAAGTAGTAAATAGTGCATATGTAACGGAACAGAGAATATAGTTTACGCAGAAATACCTATGATTTAGAAGTGCAACCAACTTTGACTTGGGACAATAACATAATTGGCGTACCATGCAAGAAGCTGAGAAATACGTTGTACTCTAAGTGATACGCAAAGGGCACAATAACAAAAGGTAATTATGTCCTTTGTCATATTGGCATAGATGCCAATTTAAATATACAAATTAGGCAATATCATAAAGGAATGATTGCCAATTCAGTACCAGGAGTCTACACATCTGTAACTTGGGGAATCGCTCATACTAATGGTAGATCATCAATCAATACACGATAATTTACGAATTAGCCACAACGTAGTTACGCACGTATCTTTGTTATGGTTCGCTTAGCGTTGTTTTGCAGATTTATTGACAATCATAAAAAAAAAAAGTAATTCGAAAACCTGATAATCTTTTCAACTCACTGCTTTCGTGGCCAACACTTTCTTTCAAGCATTCGCTGATGTTAAATAAATATTCGGTAAATGATATTTCCGTATTTCCAGTTCGCATTAACATTCAAGCATCTTGTTTCTGACTCCAAGAAAAAGGTGGGGTTTTCGATAGCTTTCACTGCAGTCAGTATACGTTGTCGACAACAATGGAGCGGCCCATGTTATTTCAAGGAAATCCGTAACATAGTAAAGCAGTTATTATCACGCTCTACGTGTCAAAGTTAGGTATGCACTTATCAGTGATCAGTCGCACAGAAGAAAGGGGAAATGACAAAAAACCCCACAAAAATTGATAGTATCAAAATTCGTAATATCCCGTGATTCGGATATTAATAACACGTTTGTAATCAGCCACAGGGTGTTTGTTACTATGTTTCGATTTGTTGCATATTCCGTACAGAAAAGGTTTCTTCAACAACAAAAGACTGGAATCAATACGCTTTACAGGTTGCAATACTATTCCCTAATGCCCAAAACAGTTATTCAAATGCGAACAATATTATGGACTATAAAGTAACATCTCACAATGTATGTACATATAAAGATGACATTGTTTATCTCTGTGGCGTGAAAAGCTTTGATCACTGCCTTCTTTGTGGGTTTCGGATTGGATTACCAAATAACAATAACTGTACACAAATAATATTATGTGAAGCAACGCATGAACTGTGAATTGTCCCATTAGCTCTTTATATAGCACATTTTAAATTATCTTCCTTATATTCCAGATATTGTTCATCGGTACATACAAGTCGCATATAGTTACATTTAATGTCACAGTTTTGCCAAGTAATCAATAGGCATGTCCGTTTTAGTGCAGCTGATCTCATCCAGTCACTTTCCATTTTAAGAAGATGAGTTTCCCTACTAAACAAGGGTGTCCGAAGACAGCGGATACAGCTGCTCAGGAGCAATACAACTTTCACCACCACTACTTTCAACAAACTTTTTAACAAACGAAAAAAGAAAAAAAAAGAATAGGAAAAGAATTTCTCTTCCCTTCTTCTCACCCTCTCACAAACAACTTTTAGAAAAAGCTGACATCTTGAACCATTAGATATGAAGTTCAACAAGTTCCGTGAGAGACTGGTATGTTGGTAATATGTTCAAGACTTGTATTATTCTAAAGAAAAAAAAGAAAACAAACAAACTAACTCGTCTTGCCTCTATAATACCCACAGTACAAAAGAGTGACAGAGTCACGATGGACTATGCTGTATATCATTATTGCAGCACTACAAATGATAATTGCCATCGGTTTAGAAGCAGCAATATTTAGTCTTAACTCGAAAATAACGAATCAAATAGAAATTGCAAAGAATATCACGGACAACCATCCAGAACTGCAAGTAGCATTAGCAAATCCAGACTACGACTATGAGAAATACCTTCAGCAATTTCAATCAATAACACACAGTAACATATGGTTTATGGTCTTTCAAGCCTTTGTATTTTTATTATCACTTATTGGGGTAAGTATTATTTAACAGACTTTGTCGTCCAGATGCTCTAATACTTCAATTGCATTGTACCGAATGTTATAATGCTACATAACTTACACTATTTCAATGTCTTTTGCCTGCATTAGTTATCCTCTCAAGTAAGTACCAGATTTCTAACTACTCAACAAACATGACGACACGGAAAACATACATTATTATAATGTGCCTGTTTACGTTTTGTTATCATCCTTTTCATTCACTCATTGTTTCTCGCTTCACCCTCTTTTCTTATCGTCTAAATAGAACACAATCGAGATCATCGTAATAGGCATTATCAATATACTTCTTCTGCTCTTTGCCCTAATTCAAGTATTCCAAAGTACGAAATGGATAAACCGTATAAACGAACAACTCGATAAAGACCGGACAGTGTCTCCCGCACTTGCTAATCTCCCTGACAATCTCCCCAAGACGGTTATTAAAGTCGAAGTTGTTTTGGTTCTCGTCTTACTTGTCTTTGCCATTGCTTCTGTCTACCTTGGGTATCGGTTGTATCGACAATTTGGATGGAACATTTATAAAAAAATTGGAGCCAATATTCAGATGCAGAGTAAGTGATGACACTACGATTGGTCAAGTTGTGTTGTGGCGATATCGACTTTTTTACCAACAACATTTTTCTCTTTATTTTTCCTGCCCTCCATTTCCTGAAATTTCTAGAAATGTATCGCGTATACCTATGTAAGTACACGTTGCGAATTTATTTTCTTTGTATACAACAGTCTGTAAAATAATTTGTGCGTCTTTTACTAATAATTAATCATTACTGGTTTACAGTATTCATAATGCTGCTGAAGTTAATGTTCTTGCTGCTTATGAGCTTCCAAATCCTTAATTTGGTCTTCTTATTCCAAAATAAAAATATCAAAGACAGTGATACTAGCAATGCTTCAACTATCATATTCCAAATAGTGATGGTTTCCGTTATTGTGCCTATGGTGGTCATAGCATGGTGGGGGGTAAGTAACAGCGACAATGTGAAAGAGATGGTGAAGTAGAATGAATTGGATTAAGCTATTTCGTATAGTGTTCAATAAATTAACCAGAACTTTGTACTCATAGGTACGGCGGGAGAACATATTGGCAATGTTCGTCTTTGCATTAATAGCTCTCACGACCATTGTTTATTTCATTTATGTTCTTGCTAGATTTATCATTAGTAGAGACGAGAATATACTAACCTTATTGGTAAGGCTTGGCCTCTGGATTAAGAAAGACAGATTTTTTTTTACGATGTTAATTTAATGTGTTATTTATTCTTGACAGGATATATTAGGAATAGCATTATGTATAGCATCTATGTCGGTTGCATACATGGCAGTTCGTAACTTTGGTAAATGTCGAATGAATTAATTAATTTGAAATTTTTATTATCGATCAATTCTAACCGCGCATTTTATTTTAAACACACACTGTATAGACGGAGGATTAAAAGATCTCTGTAAGTACAGTTTTTTATCCCATTTGCCTCGTTCTCTACTTTTTACGAATCTATTTATTCATTGTTGTTCTTTGCTTATCTTTCCTCTAACATAGTCGACAAAAGTAATGTTACGCAAAATCAAGGCCTAGACCTTGGTGGGCTCGAATCAGGACAGCCCAACCGCAAACCAAACAACGTTATAATTGATTAACAATGGGGAACATTCAACGCCAGCTCATCCCTTCTCCTCGAGGTCCTTGTTACTACTAATGACTATCGTGTATATTTAAGGAGTGTATAGTACATGGTTATGGGTGGGAGGTCTTTATTTACATTCTCGTTCTTATTCAGATTTCCTTCCCTTGTTTCGAGAGTTTTATTCTCCGTTAATATTATTTTGTCATGTCGTTGTATTCTCATTGAGGACGCGACAGATATGTTGGTGCAGATTTTGTTGCTTTCTTTTTGGTGTTCTTTCTGTTTATATTACACATGATTTTTTTTTTGTATTATGAATAGAATTATTGTTGATGTATTGTTATTTGTTTCGGTTGTCATATTATAATCAAATTATGTATTTCCTCTACCAGTTAACTAATTAGGTTTGTCTCGACATATTGCTGTTATTATCATCCTTAGGATGGTGGATAGTCATGTGGATACAAAGTGGGAGTTTTGTAATTCTTTTTTGACAATACTGTGCTTGCTGCTATTTATGGTTTCGTTGTGGGTAGCCCCTATTGTTTTTTTTATCGCATAAAAAAACTACACTTATTCTTAATTACAATTGCGGAAATTATGAATGTGGGGCCAATTGTTTATGACATGACCATATAGCCGATATCTCTAATAAGACAGCGCAATCTCAGTGAATACCTGAGCTATGCAAAGACCCTATCTGTATACAATCCTACATATCTTAGTAAGCTATGGATATCTATCGCGGCCGATTTGCATAGACCGACATCTAAGAGATATCCTGGCTGATAATTTTCACGAAAGTAAAATCTGTAACATTCATATCTGAGCATGCAAAACGCAAACGTGGGTGATTGAATAAAGTTAAATATCGTCACGTGATACAATATCAAAAGATCCTTCGTTCTGCTTCTAAACTTAATGACATAACAAATCACTGATTGGAAATCATTTGGAAAACAAAAGGGGAAAATCCGTGGTATTTGCATGATAATATACCAAAAAGAATTCTACTAAAGCAACCGTCCCCCAAATACTCGAAAACCCAAAACTAATAACTATGTCGGCAGCGATAATTTGTCAGCTGACTCCTTATTCAAGAGTCTAATAATTCAGAACAAGCGAACTAAGAAACGAATGACTGATCCGGAAGAATTCCCATACATTTATCCTTAACAAATATGTAAGATGCGTAAGGCAAAACGATAGAAACTAAAAGAAAAGAACTTGTATGCTGGTATAATTATAGAGAATCATACCAATATAAGGTTGCAAATTTTGTTCTAGAACTGGTGCAGCCGAGAAACTGCCAAATCTCAAGTTCATACCATGATAAAGGCTTCTGTTTCGGAATCAAATTTGTATAAGCATTATCATATGACATAATGCCCATTGGTCAGGAACAAAGTACATTTCTGAGCAAATCGAAGAGGTATGATGAAGGGGAGTATTATAGAAATGATGATGACACGTATGGTGGGGTAAAGGGTATTATTATCGTGAAGATATGAAAGGAAAGTCTCACCAATGATGGGTCCTATTATCTCGCCTAGGAGAAGAATTAGGTATAACATACTCGCATTGTCTTTTTTGAATCATGTGGGTGGCTTAGGGATATGCGCAGTAACACGTCACCAGTATGCACATTTCCAGTATGTTCTATCTATCTCACTCATTACGCACTTCCGAATTACCAATAAAAACTACATCCTGATTTACATGCGAATCGTAAGACAGGGCGTTGTTAAAAAGAAACTCAAAAATGGAAATGGAACGATAGAATCTATGATTTACAGATCCTCGGATAAACGGTAACTTTTTATTACCCTACTGACGTCAGCGCATTCAAATTACGTGTAGGTTAATCACACATTTGGATAGGAATTAGTGATTTCGTCATCTACAGATCTCGATCCATGATGAACAAATATTCCGATTTTTTGTGATTACAATTGAAATAGTGATAGAGGTTGTGAACTCAAACAAACATGCCCACATGCCATCTTTTGTTTTGCAAGAGATTTTAGAAATAAATGAAAAATTTTGAGATACGACATAGCTTCATTAGCATTACTGTATTATATCAAGTTGACATAAAACTGTAATTTGACGGGTTTACTTTTATTATTATATCGAAATGGAATCCAGGCTGTTATAATTGTTTTAGTATTAGGTAGAAAAAACTGGGAAGAGTACTTAGAAAGTTTTTATTATGGTAAAGGGACCAAAATTTAGCATAGTAATGTCAATTATAAGATGGGTAGATAGTAAAGAAATTGCCAGTAGTGTAAATAATAATGCGAGTAATGTAAATAATTCAGAGTAGCGGAAAAAGAACTGCCAATATGTGAATTAAATTATCAGGTAGGCATTTTCTTTTATGTCTTTTCTCCTTGAAACATTCTGCTACTGTATTATTTTTTACTTTCATTTTTACTTAGCACCCCCCCTCCCCCAATGCGTAGTTTATTCAATTATAACAATAATAAACGATCGTTGATTGTTACATAATATACAGTGTGTAACGAAAAAAACCGCTATCATAAAATATACCATAACTCAATTACAATGGCCATGCAAAATTTTTAAACAATTCCAATTTTTTTTAAATTCTATCGCCATTTTTCTGCAAAACAAGCTTACACCTCTTTTTTCATTGATGAAATTAATTTGTACAGTCGTTTCTGGAATTGCGTCCATTCTTCGGTCATAAATTGTTTTATTTCTTAGCATCCATGTTTCAACGTTATTCTTGACATGTTTTCGATGCGATAAGGAATATTGGTCTTTTATTTAGGGATTGGACGCCATTAAGCCAATAATGATAATTGTTTGTCGTTGAACTTCAAGTCTCTCCATGGTTGCAAAGGACAAGGGGGAGAATAACTGGACTAATTACGATAATTATTACTTGAATACGTTTACTAACATGGGGGAGTAATCAAACATAAAGACGCGTTTGTCATCAATAACAACGCGCACCCCCTTGTTTTTTTTTACAAATTATGTTCAATTTTCGGAAGGCGGTTTTTTTCGTTACACACTGTAGTAACTAGCATGTAGTAACTATAAAGGGTGAACCATTAATGCTTTCATAGACTTTTTTTAAGGTGTCAAAATTACTATATCTAAAATTTTAAATGTTAATTACTAGCACAAACAGAAGATAATAACATTGTAAAATAACATCTTACATATATTTATCAAAATTACGTATTTCTTTCAACACAGTAGTATTTGATAACAAGATCACAACAGTGTTGTTTTTTCTTCTCACATCCTTATACAGTCAACTCTCTTTATAACGACCGCTCGGGCTGGGCAATCGGTCGTGATATGCAGCGTAGTACATATAATATATTATATGGCGTTTTTGAAAATGGGCAGAGCACAGGCGGTCGTTATAAAGAGTGTTGACTGCATATTGGCATAGCATATCGCTCAGGTAGATAACGGAACAAATTTAATGACGAGACAAGAGTCTGTGTTTTTTATAAGAAAAAAAAATCATATATTATTTAAATTACATACTGTATTATTACAATATTGAATATGAATAATACAGAATTGTTAAATATATATCTTTTAAAATTTACCATAAATTCCCTGAAAACCGTTGCAAATCGGCAACGTCTGACACATTGATTTTGCTCATCTTTCTCGTAATGCAAAAAATTGGACAAGATTTTCTGCCGCGATATAAGAAAGAATATAAGGTACATGACTATATGTCGACCTGTTCCAGAAATCCATCTTATCTAGCAATTCTTGCTCAGCCACTGCCTTATCAGAAGCAAATTGTCTCTCTTCTGCCTTAAAGACCGAACGCCGTTTAACCATGCCACTACATGGGGTCGAGTATTCTTGACCGTTGCACCAGAGGATCGAAAATTTTTTCAACAAGCCCGCAATTTTAATTGAAAAACGAGCCAATGAGGAAAAAAATCAGAATCCAGTAGTCCATAACATTCCGATTCATAACAAAAAAAAAGGGTAAATTCCGAGGTGTTGTTAGTTGTAAGTTTTATCTAAATGTGTGCTTTCTGTGTTTCTTACCTTGCTTAATTCGCACCAAATGTTGGGGCATTAAACCAGAGTAATCTTGTTCTAAAGCAGACTGACACTTATATGATATACTCGGGCCACTAGTTCCATTAGCACCATCATATTGAAATGGTCATCTACTCTGTCACCAATAAAACTTTTCCAATTCTTGTAGCAAATACTTTCAATAGGTGTCTTTGTGTCAAATGGTGCAATAGCCAAGTCTTTCAAACTAGTTGCCGACGGTAAATCTGAAGTGGTGTATCTGCAACGCCAAGTTCGATTTGATTCTCAGCTCCTCCAGATTCGCTTTACACCACCGTACTCCTTCTTGGCGTCCTGGTACGCCTGTTGAATGGTGCTCATTTTGAATGGTTGCAGAGTGACGCGCGTCCGCTCCCGAAAACATTACATACGTGATATATTTTGCCTACCCCGTGTTAATTACGTGATCAATTCCAATTTACAATTCATGTATTGTTCTCTTGGAAGGTTGTAGTAGCCTGTTAAAATCTTTTTGTATTGTCGAGTCGACGGTCACGGGAGAGTATAAAGGGTGAGTAATAGTCTGGTTTTATTCAGAATTAAAATAGACTTCGCGATACTGTATATATGACTTGTGCATATTCATCTATTGTCATCATAATTATCAGGCGCAATATGCAGAACGACCGATATAAATAAATGGACACGAAAGATCTGTAAATACTCTTTTAATACGTCAAGGCTTGGGGTTATTAACGTAGATTTTATGGTACTGTATTATAACAGTATGGCAAAAGTTCGTTTGATACAACCGTTTTTGATAGATCGGCAAGCATACACCTGCGGCAAAAGTCACGTTTTCACCAATACAGAAAATTTCTACTCATGTGAGTGACAATTACTAAACCAAGTATTAATTTTATTATTGATCAATCTTGCTTATGTGCAAATGAATGTGCAGTATTTTTGACTCAGTAACTGTTTAGCATTGATACTTATAATAATAAATTCCTGTCGCACTTAATTACCTCGTGTTCCGTATTACAAAGAGAACGATAAAAATTATAAAAATAAAACAATAATATTTATTGCAAGCTGTGAACGCATTTTGTGTTGCAAAGAAATGTATATTAAGAATTGTCATCAATTCTTTTGTTGAAATTTAAAGTTATCTTGCGTGATTATTTGCTACAAAAATGTCTTCGTACGAAGCCAATCATTTACAATGAAGATAATACTGTTCTAGTTCTTTTGGCCGAGCAGCTGAATAGTATATTGCAAACCATTTTATACTTAAAAATACACGATTGAAATCTCACAAGAGCTTTGATATCTATTATGTTTGCACATAATCATTACGTTCACATATAGTACATCGGATAGTTTCCTCTGGGTATTGTGAAAACGTCACTTTGCCGCAGATTGAGATGTATCAAAAACGAAACCAAAATTTGGTGCTTGCTGAAAAAAACGAAACTTTGCTACAGTATGATAATCATCATGTGACTGCGAATTATGTCCACTATATTCTGTACGACCATAAAAGTGCCAGTCTGAATTATTGACTATAATAGTTAGACCGAAAAGCTTTTTTATATAATATTTAAATTGATCATCACATCATCGCACCTGTTTCAACCATGAATGTCGAATTTCTTCTCCCCGAAGCACGTCAAAATGACGATGATGTAGAGATGATCGATGTCAGTGACAAGTTTGTTACTCCAGGAGAAACAATCAGTGTCGATGCTCAGTATATGAGGTTTGGAATAAACGATATTACCATTTCACTTTGTAAGGACTTTAAACATTATTCGTTAAGTAGGAGTCACGGAACGTTCTCTGACGAAAAGGACGGAATAATAAAATCGTCTCTTGCAGGACGAGTTGAGATTGTTAACAAGTTAATCTCCGTGCGCACAGTGCACTCACGGTAGGTAATGCTCCATAATAGCCATTTTCCGCTTACGAATATCCTAAATTATGTTGGCCGTTAATAAAGTTATAACGCAGAAATAGGCGACTTGATCGTTGGGCGGATAACAGAGGTAAAAACCCATGATCATATAATGCTTTTACACACACGTCGAAGACATGCTGAATTAGAATGGGATTGGTACTGTAGGTTGCTCAAAAACGATGGAAAGTCGATATCAACTCTAGGCAGGATGCTGTATTGCTCTTATCATCCATTAACCTCCCTGGTGGCGTTATGGTTAGTCTGCACACTTGTATTATCAAGTAGTTTGAATTCTTCGCTGATCGATAAACTTTTGAATACAGAGACGGAAAACAGAGGAAGATGAATTGCAGATGCGTAAATTTTTTTCAGATGGAGACATTCTAGCGGTACGAATGGACATGTCTGATCGGGGGTTTTTTCCTTCGTGCCGCTACTAAAGATTAAACTGTTTGTTGTTGCTTAGGCGGAGGTTTCGGGAACTTTTCAAGATGGTGCAGCATCTATACAAACAAGAAGTCACAAGTATGGCAAGGTAAAACATAACGCGTGAGGGCCAGCCCAACCTTTGTTCTTCTTTGCCAGAACAACTTGTCGATCTTTACGCATGCATGCAATTGTTTTTAGCTGAGAAACGGTTCATTTGTGAGCGTTCCTCCATCTCTAGTCCAACGCTGCAAGACACACTTTCATGTTTTGTCGTGCGGTGTTGATGTAGTACTTGGATTGAATGGATATATATGGGTTTGCAAACATACTCCTTCACTTCAAGATGTAGATTCAGAGACTATCTATTCGCATAAAAATGAGGTCAGTACCATGTGTCGGAATGTCCATACCTTCATTGAGATCCTTTTGTAACTTCAAATTCTGAACGTACAGCCGATCAGCGATGCAACAAGAGAATCAATAGCTCGAGTATGCAATTGTATCACTTCCCTCGCTCGAAAGTTCAAGATCATTAATGACTCTAGCATTACTCTCGCATACGAAGAATCATTTGAGACACAGCATATTGATTAGACCCACTTTGGGATGGTGATATATCTGGAGTGAGGTAGTAAATTTTATTGGTTAATAAATTCAATTAATGAAGTCTGGCATTTAGCCCTATTCATCTAAGCGTCGAATTATACTACGTATATATTTTACGTCACTTTCTGTTGTAATAAGAATTTTTAACTATATACGTGTTTGTCTTCCCGGCGCTCGAGTCTTTTTCAATCCGGCAAAGATAGCTAGTAGGAGACGCGCACGATTTTATTTCAGTATCTTTTTAACTCAGCCCCAACATATTTAATTTACTTAAACGGAAGAGGAATAAAACTTCGAATTATATGTTTATTCAAAGGATGTTGGGTCGCTAAAACTAATATTGTAGATTGACTTTAATAATTTATACAAACAGAACCAATTTCTGTCTTTGTAATCCGAACTACATCTCTTACTCCTCGTCAACATCCGACAAGCTCAAATCTGATAAGGGAGGTAACTGATGAGAATAATTTCTTG